ATCCAAGTACCCACCAACCACACACACTCCGCTCCTCACAAGACCTCCTTCTCCAACTTCCCTGGTCTCCTCCTCCCATGCCCGCCTCCAGGACTTCTCCAGGTGTCACCCATCCTCTGGAATGTACTCCCTGCCCCCAACCCATCAGATTATCACCTAACTCTCCTCTCCTTTAGGTGCACCCTGAAAAACCCATCTCTTCAGGGAAGCCTACCCCCCCCCCGCTAACTTGCCGACTTCCTCACTCTTCCTACCACTTCCATCCCCCACAGCTATCTCCTCCTGTGTGCCCCACCCCCCTCCCTCCTAGATTTGTAAGCTCCAAGGAGCAGGGCCCTCAATCCCCTCGTGTTTTGCATTGTATTGGTATTGTTCTGTCACATGTTCTGTCCCCGGCTTTGTAATGTACAGCGCTGAGCGAATACTATTGGCGCTTTTAAATACTGTATAATAATAATAATAATAATAATATTTGAGTCTGCCTGTGGGGTTTTTTTTTTGTTTGCTTTTTTTAATTTTTTTTGTTTTGTTAACTTGAGTGGGGGGGTTTGTGTGTTTTGTGTGTGGGGTGTGTTTGTGTTGTTTGGTTTTTTTTTTTTTTTTGTGGGGTGTGTTTTTTTTTTTTTTTTTTTTTTTTTTTTTTTTTTTTTTTTTTTTTTTTTTTTTTTTTTTTTTTTTTTTTTTTTTTTTTTTTTTTTTTTTTTTTTTTTTTTTTTTTTTTTTTTTTTTTTTTTTTTTTTTTTTTTTTTTTTTTTTTTTTTTTTTTTTTTTTTTTTTTTTTTTTTTTTTTTTTTTTTTTTTTTTTTTTTTTTTTTTTTTTTGTTTTTTTTTTTTTTTTTTTTTTTTTTTTTTTTTTTTTTTTTTTTTTTTTTTTTGTTTTTTTTTTTTTTTTTTTTTTTTTTTTTTTTTTTTTTTTTTTTTTTTTTTTTTTTTTTTTTTTTTTTTTTTTTTTTTTTTTTTTTTTTTTTTTTTTTTTTTTTTTTTTTTTTTTTTTTTTGTTTTTTTTTTTTTTTTTTTTTTTTTTTTTTTTTTTTTTTTTTTTTTTTTTTTTTTTTTTTTTTTTTTTTTTTTTTTTTTTTTTTGTTTTTTTGTTTTTTTTTTTTTTTTTTTTTTTTTTTTTTTTTTTTTTTTTTTTTTTTTTTTTTTTTTTTTTTTTTTTTTTTTTTTTTTTTTTTTTTTTTTTTGTTTTTTTTTTTTTTTTTTTTTTTTTTTTTTTTTTTTTTTTTTTTTTTTTTTTTTGTTTTTTTTTTTTTTTTTTTTTTTTTTTTTTTTTTTTTTTTTTTTTTTTTTTGTTTTTTTTTTTTTTTTTTTTTAGTAAGGTGTTTTGCCGTGTTAAGGATCTCACTCAACAGACAGACGTGAACTCCGAGGCCGAGAATTTCAATCCCACTTACCGAAGAAAAAGCGCCTACCTTTATCGGAGGTATTTCTAATTAAAATCGCATTAGCATATATTTTGCATAGCAAGCTTCTCGCTGCCGCTTAATTAGCATTATTTAATTAAAGCCACCACTTTATCTGTGTACAAATATTAGCTTACCCCCTTCAATTATTATTTCTTTTTTTTTTCCCGCCGAGACTGAAACAAAGGAAGTCGTTGGAGGCCAGAGGATTGGTGTGCCAGTTCTTCCTAAGCGGCTCATTTTCGCTGCTTAATAGTTGGAGTGAAACTTCCGGTTAATTAAATCAAATTAAAGTTTTCTATATTTTTTTTTTTTTTTTTTTATGCTGTTTCAAATATTTGTCTCATGGTTATAGAGTAACTCCACTGATATCAGAAAAAAAAAAAAAGGTCTTTTTTTTTTTGCTGTTTGGCACTGCACTACTTTAACTGGCAATTGTGCGGTCATGCAAGTGTTTTTTTTTGCTAGAAAATTACTTAGAACCTCAAACATTATATATTATTTTTTTTAGCGAACTCCCTAGAGAATTTAATGGCGGTTGTTGCAATTTTTTATGTCACATGGTATTTGCGTAGCGGGTTTTCAAACGCAATTTTTTTTTTTTTTTTTAGAAAAAATAGTTTAAAAAAGTTAAAACAAAAAAAAGCGCAATATAAACCCTTTTTTTGGGTGAATTATGAAAGATGATGTTACGGCGAGTAAATAGATAATTAACATGTCACGCTTTAAAATTGCGCACGCTCGTGGAACACACTACATTACTTAAAAATCTCCATAGGTGACCCTTTAAAAAATTTTTTTTACAGGTTACCAGGTTAGATTTACAGAGCAGGTCTGGCACTAGAACTATTCCTCTCGCTCTAATGTTCGTGGCGATACCTCACATGTGTGCGGCAAACACCGTTTACGTGTGCATGACTTATGCATGCGTTCACTTCTGAGCGTGTGAACGGACAAATGGGGGACTCTTTAAATTTTTTTTTTTTTTATTTATTTGATTTTTGATTTTTACACTGTCTATTTGTTTATTTTTTCAACACTTTTCTTCCTATTACAAGGAATGTAAACATCCCTTGTACTAGAAATATGCATGACTGGTCCTCTTTATAGAGATCTGGGGGGGTCAAAAAGACCTCAAATCTCTCCTTTACCTTTCAAAAGCAAAAGATTGAAAAACAATTTTGCTCTTTTGCTTTAAAAAAAAAAAAAAAAAAAAAAAGTTACCATTCCGCCCCAGACGTGACGTCATGACGTCACTTTGGTCCTCCAAGGCCATCAAGGCAATGAGAGACCAGAGAGTCTCTCTTCACCTCTTCACCTCGCTCTAACATTCACAGCGATACTTCACATATATGCTTTGAACACCGCAATTTTTTAAAGAAAAAATACACTTTAAAAAAAAGCATAATATATACCCTAATTTTTTGGGATAAAATATGAAAGATGATGTCATGCAACATTGTAGCCATTTTTTTTTTTCACTCAAATCAGTGTTTCTTTTGGTGGTAATTAATCACCACTGGGGTTTTTTTTTTTTTTTTTTTTTACGCTATAAATGAAAAAAGACATTTTGAAAAAAAAAAATTTTTTTTTTTTGTTTCTATTATAAAATTTTAGCAAACAGGTAATTTTTCTCCTTCACTGATAGGCGACACTGATGGGCACTGATAGGCTGCATTGATGAGGAAGCACTGATGATGCAGTACTGACATGCTAGTTAATAAACAGAAAAGAGATTATATAACCACTAGGTGATCGCCCGCCGTACATATACTGCTTCAAGGCAGCCCCTGTGCGCAGGATCACGTAGATAAACGTGATCCTGCATTTCGGAGTAGGGGGCGTGAGGCGCGCGACCCGCCCTACCTGCGGCACCGATCGCAGCCGCAGGTGTCAATCACTGGGTCCCGGCCAGTGATTACCCGCCGGAGCCCAACGATTGCCGGCAAACACTGACGGGGAGGAAGGCTGCATTGTTTTCAATGCAGCTCTCCTCCCTGTCAGTTTTCAGCACACTGTTCCGGATCGATCGCTGATCACAGCCTTCCTGAACAGTGCGCAACAGTGAAGAACACCCCCGCCCCCCCCTAGTAAAACACTCCCCTCACACAGTTAACCCTTTAATTGCCTCCCAATGTTAACCCCTTCCTCCCCAGTGCCATTAGTACAGTGTCAGTGCTTTTTTTTTGCACTGATCACTGTATTGGTGTCACTGCGGATGTCAGTGACCCCAAGTCAGTTCCCCCCAGTGTCAATGTCTGTCGCAGTCCTGCCATAAGTCGCTGATCACCGCCAGGTGCGGACTGACCATTTGGAAACTTGGGCACTGCCCGAGGGCCCGGGGTCAGTAGGGGGCCCCATGAGATGCCCCTGGTACCTTTTTCATAGGCTTTTTTGAGTTTGGGCAAGGACACAGGGGCCCCATGATCCCCTATTGCCCCGGGGGGCCCCATGAGTTGTCAGTCCGCCCCTGATCACCACCATAAGTCGCTGATTGCCGCCATAAGTCGCTGATCACCACTATTATTAGTATAAACAAAAAAAAAATCCAGTATCTTTCCCGCCATTTGTAGACGCTATAACTTTCACGTAAACCAATTAATTTACACGTATTGGGATTTTTTTTTCTAGCAAAGACACGGAGCAGAATACATTTTGGCCTAAATTTATGACAAAATTAGACTTTTTAAATTTTTTTTACTGGACATGTTTTATAGCAAAAAGTCCAAAATATTTTTTTCTCAAAAGTGTCGGCCTTTTTTTTTTTATAGCGCAAAAAATAAAAAACGCACAGGCAATCAAATTCCACTGAAAGAAAGCCCAGCTCATGGGCAAAAAAGGACGTAAATTTCATTTTGGTGCAGCTTTGCACGACCGCGCAATTGTCGGTTAAAGCAACGCAGCGCCATAACGCCAACCGCTTCTGTAAAGTCTCAGTAGAAGTAACCTTCTATTACGACGTTGTTTCAATGTTTCATTTCTGAAATGTAACACAGTATGTCTCGGTTTCATCGGGTTCCTTCCTGGCATTTACATGCTGTCAATGTTTAATGACTCCAGTTCAGTCAACGTAACTTGTAGAAATATGTACGTTCCAGCTGGTCTTTTCTTGCCGTCTCTCGTTAGAAATAAAAACTAGTCTATGCGAGAGACATAAAAAATGCCGTCAGCAGATTAGGCAATCCTCCAAAAGCAATTACTGCCCGAGAAACGTCAATCAAACTCGTCAAATTAGCTCCTGCATTTCACATGAATCGGCTCACCAAGCAGCAAATTCCACAAATGTTAAGATCCATGTATTGTTATATATAAATAATGCAACTGTAAGCCAATTACCTGATGGAGTGATATGGTAATTAGACGAGCCAACGATCGTTTGGTGGATGTCAGGCTGACGATAATTCCGGTAGATTTGAAGCTGCGAGAAATGATACGACAAACATGGAAATATTATTATTATTAATATACAGTATTTATAAAGCGTCAATAGTTCGCTCAGCGCTGTACATTACAAAGGGGGACAGAACATGTGACAGAACAATACCAATACAATGCAAAACACGAGGGGATTGAGGGCCCTGCTCCTTGGAGCTTACAATCTAGGAGGGAGGGGATGGTGGCACAGGAGGAGATAGCTGTGGGGGATGGAGTGGTGGGAAGAGTGGAGGAGGTCGGCAGGTTAGCAGGGGGTGGGGTAGGCTTCCCTGAAGAGATGGGTTTTCAGGGTGCACCTAAAGGAGAGCAGAGTAGGTGATAATCTGATGGGTTGGGGCAGGGAGTTCCAGAGGATGGGTGACACCCTGGAGAAGTCCTGGAGGCGGGCATGGGAGGAGGAGACCAGGGAACTAGAGAGAAGGAGGTCTTGTGAGGAGCGGAGTGTGCGTGTTGGGTGGTACTTGGATATTAGGTCAGTGATGTAGTTCGGGGCAGTATGGTGGACAGCTTTGTATGTCAGTGTTAGGATTTTGAATTTGATCCATTGGGCAATCGGAAGCCAGTGGAGGGATTGGCAGAGGGGGGTGGCGGACACTGAGTGGAGGCCAGTGGAGGGATTGGCAGAGGGGGGGAGGACACTGGAGGACACTGAGTGGAGGCCAGTGGAGGGATTGGCAGAGGGGGGAGGAGGACACTGAGTGGAGGCCAGTGGAGGGATTGGCAGAGGGGGGTGGAGGACACTGAATGGAGGGATTGGCAGAGGGGGGTGGCGGAGATGGAGCGGTTGGAAAGGTGAATGAGTCTGGCAGCCGTATTCAGGATGGACTGAAGCGGGGATAGCCAGCGGTGAGGCAGGCCAGTGAGGAGGGAGTTGCAGTAGTCGAGTCGTGATATGATGAGGGAGTGGATGAGCTGTTTAGTGGTTTCTGGGGTTAGGAACGTGCGGATTTTGGCGATGTTGAGGAGGTGGAGTCTGCACAAGTCTTTGTGAGCAGCGGAGTGTGCGTGCTGGGTGGTACTTGGATATTAGGTCAGCAATACGATGCCCACCACGGGCTATACACATGACGACTAATATTAAAACTCCAGGCAAGCCGATAAATACAAATTTAAAAAAATATACAAGATAACAGTTCTGCCTGCCCAAGGATTTGTATTCCATTCAGCAAGTCTTGCAATCCTGTCATGTGATCCAGATACCCCTGCCAGACACACTGGCTCTGAAGAAGAGGTTCTTCCTCGAAACGTGTCAGCCACCAGCTATCCAGAGGCTCCCAGTCCCCCACCAGACCACCCACAGGGGTTCCTGTACCACTCTGCATCCCTTGTGACATGCTTCCCATGTATATCTGATTTTATATCTGTCAGGAATCTGGGTATGACAAGAAGTGTGTGGACTGACACAGGGAAACGCAGGCTTCAGGTATAGTACAGGGTGCAGCAACATAACTTCCTTTTTTCAAAACGCAATAAAACCCATTTTATGAATCAGAATTGTTTTTATTGTCTTTAACCCCTTCAATACCGGGCAATTTTACACCTTCCTGCCCAGGCCAGTTTTCACGTTTCAGCGCTCTCACACTTTGAATGACAATTGCGCGGTCATACAACATTGTACCCAAACTAAAATTTTATCATTTTCTTCACACAACTAGAGCTTTCTTTTGGTGGTATTTAATCACCGTTGGGGTTTTTATTTTTTGCTAAATTAACAAAAAAAGACCAAAAATTTTGAAAAAAAAAAAAAAGCGTTTTTCTTTGTTTCTGTTATAAAAGTTTACAAATAAATAATTGTTCTTCATAAATTTAGGCCGAGATGTATTCTGCTACATGTCTTTGGTGAAAATAACCCAAATTAGGATGTATTATTTAGTTTGTAGAAAAGTTATAGAGTTCAAAAACTATGGTATAGATCTGAATATTGATCAATCCTGAAGTACTGACAGCCAATCTAATTTCTTGAGGTCCAAGAATGTCAGAACAGTACAGATATCCCCCAAATGTCAGGACAGTACAGATATCCCCCAAATGTCAGGACAGTACAGATATCCCCCAAATGTCAGGACAGTACAGATATCCCCCAAATGTCAGAACAGTACAGATATCCCCAAATGACCCCTTTTTGCAGAGTAGACAGTCCGACGTACTTCATAAGAGGAATGGCGAGTTTTTTGAAGTTGTATTTTTTTTGTCATAATTTTTTGGAAAATTAAAAAAATTAAAAAAATTATTTTCACTATTTTTTTTTTTTACATACTGTCACCAGTGCAGTACAGCGTCATCATATAACTGGCATGGCGGTGATCAGGGACACTGACTGGTGACAGTATAAAAAAATATATATATATATATATATATTTTTTATTATTATTATTTTTACTTTTTTATTACATTTTTTTATTTTTTTAAGATTTTTTTTTCATATTTTACTATGACCAAAGTAGTACAATGTTACCACAGTAACATTGTACTACTTTGGGGAAGTGATCAGTATTTTTTTTTTTTACACAATTTGCTTATAGCAAGCATTTACCAGAATGAAATCGATTCATTCAGCTTTTTTTTTTTTTTTTTTTTGTGCTTAGCTGTGATTTGGTCACAGCTAATCACATGACATGTGCATGTGATCGCTGTGACCATTCACAGCTAGGCACTAGTATAAAATGGATGGCATGAATGAAGCCATCCATTGTATACAACTGTCATGTGACCTGCTGTGATTGGTCACAGCAGGTCACATGGTACCAGCAATGGGAGCTGGTACTCGGATCTGTCATCGGCCGTGTCCGAAGTACACGGCCGGTGACAGATCGCGCTGCTGCGCCGCTCTGCAGTTGCGCGAACTGAGCATGTGCGGGAGCACGCCAAATGGCGTGCAACCGGCATGCAGAAGCACTTTTGTCGCCGCCAAACGGCCATTGGCCGGGCAGCAAATGGTTAATAATGTAGGTACATATCTAAAGTTCTGTTTTACACAGTTTTGAAACTCATATCAGGTAGGTGACGCCCCCCATTGTCCATACACTGAATAAGTGAATTCAGACCGGTATGCAAACATGTTGGAGGAATTTGTTTTTCCACGACTTGATGAATTGGACTTAGGGGACATTTGGTTCCAACAGGACGGACCAGCGGCTCACACTTCAAGAGCATCAATGGCTGTTTTAAGGGAACACTTCCCGGACCGCCTCATCTCAATAAGGGGCGATTTGGAGTGGCCAGCCCGCTCCGCCGATTTGGCCCCTTGCGACTTTTTTTTGTGGGGTTTTTTGAAATCCCGCGTTTATGTAAACCGTCCAAGGACCCTACAAGACCTGAAGGCCAACATCCGCGCAGAAATTGCCAACATACCCGCTGCTATGCTGGTAAGGGTCATGAAAAACGCCAGAAATCGGCTTATTCAGTGTATGGACAATGGGGGGCGTCACCTACCTGATATGATTTTCAACACTGTGTAAAACAGAACTTTAGATATGTACCTACATTATTAAAGACAATAAAAACAATTCTGATTCATAAAATGGGTTTTATTGCATTTTGAAAAAAGGGAGTTATGTCGCTGCACCCTGTGTAACAATACAATTTATTAGGCCTAACAATACATAAACGCAGTGCAAAGCATGACACAACAAACCAAACCTCCAACAAACAACCATACATACAACACTAAACGTAGTCGGGCAGGCCGGGTCGGTAGCAAACGGGCAAACAAGGTACCAGGAGCAGGCGGGAGAGAGGTCAGGACTAGCCGAGGTCAGTACAGGCAGAGTTTGTGCAGAATCAGGGTAGAAGCAAGCAGGATCAGGATACCGGGGCCAAGCGAAACAGTACAACAAGGCACTGACTGCAGGTCTGGCCATTCCTTAAATACACCTCCTGCAATCAGCCTCAGGTGATGGCTGATTGCAGGAGTGAGCTTCTGGTTGCTGAGAGCACCCGCTGGCTAGCCCTGGTACTGCAGCCCACAAGGCAGGTGAGTCCCACCACCATTGGCGAGTCCATTCCTGACAACATCATTTTATCTTGTATTTTACTTTTTATCAATAAATCCTAATTTTAAGGTAATGCACTAGGCCTGTGCGTCCTCTTTTTGTCTTCTACACACAGTTTCTTTTGGATTTCCCTGGTCCATTGAGGGCAGCAAGGCCTGCATTTCTCTAATCTATGTGGGGATACCAATAGCGGGGA